GATATACCTAGAATGTATGGCCATAAAAGAAGCAGTGAAATATTGGCAACACTGGTTGCTTGGGAAACAATTCACGGTATACACGGATCACAAGCCTCTAGAAAACTTGAACATAAAATATAGGACAGATGAAGAGTTAGGAGACTTATCATACTACTTATCTCAATATGATTTCACGATAAAATACAATCTTGGAAAATCAAATCAAGAAGCAGACTGCCTTAGCAGGAATCCAGTTTTAGAACCAAATGATAACACAGACGACATCCTGGAAGTCGTAAATCTAATAAGTCTCGAAGACATAAAAAAGGACCAAAATGAGAACATATCCTTTAAAGAAAAGAAGAAAGACATTGTATTAAAAAATGGCATCTATTATAAAAAGTAAAAAGTAAAAGACAAAATACTATTGTCCGAAAACATCAGTAAAATATTGATTAAAGAAATACACGACACTTACTGTCATTTAGGAAGATCGCAAATGATCAAAAAGATAACTCCATTTTATTCAGCAACCAACATGATAATGAATATTCAAAAAATTTGCGATAATTGTTCTGTATGTCAAAAAAACAAATCAAGAAAAAAATCAAAATATGGGTTCCTATTACAGTTAGGCCCAGCTACCTACCAATTCGAAATTATGTCCATCGTTACCATTGGTGGATTTGGGGGTTCGCGATCAACAAAAAAATATTTACACCTTTTGGTTAATCATTTTACTAGATACGCTTATATGTTAACGTCAAAAAGCCAAACTGCCAATGACTTTATAAAATTAACAATGAAAGTGACAGAAAGTAACGATATAGGAACAATACTAACAGATCAATACCCTGGAATAAATTCAAAGGAGTATAAAAATTTTTTAAAGCAGAAGAACATAAAAATGATTTTTACTGCCGTAGACTCCCCATTTTCAAATGGGCTTAATGAAAGATTAAATCAAACTATGGTTAATAAAATAAGATGCAAAATAAATGAAAACGAAAATAAAAACACATGGTCATCAATAGCTCAAGAATGTGTTAGAAGATACAATGAAACGGAACACACAGTTACTGGATTTGTGCCGAAATACTTAATGGAAGGTGAAAGTATCAATATTTTGCCCCACGAATTGAAGACAAATTGTACAAAAGAAGATCTAGGAAGAGATCGACAATTGGCATATGAAAACACCAAAAAGTCGCATGATCAAAATTCAGAACGATACAACAAACACAGGAAAGAAATTACATTACTTGCCGGGGACTTGGTATATGTGGAAAATGGAAAACGCCTCAATAGGAAAAAGCTGGACGAAATAAGAATCGGACCATACAAAATACTAAAGAAAATCTCAAATTCAATCTACGAGGTTGATACCGGACACAAGAAAACAAAATCAAACCTTTTTCATATAACAAAAATAATTCCGGTGGCTGACGATACGACTTGACGAACAATCACGTATAATAATGTGTTATGCGATTGTTCTCATTCGAGGGGGGGAGATATAAAGAAAATAACGACTCTCATTTATATGAGACGTAATCTTCTTTAAGTTTACATTTGCCGCGTTTCGCATTGAGTTATAGACTCGGGTTATCGATGGTAAAACATGAATACTCGACGGTTGGGATTCTAACCGAAAAATATCGAACATGGAAGATTTCAATTATTGTTTTAAAATTTATTAATTTGAATAAGGAATAATAAGTAAATCACCTGGAGTAAAAACTTTTAATGTTGTTTTCTGTTTTTGTTGCAGGTAAGACTATTTCTACTGTCTTTTGTNAGTTAAGGCGCCAAAGTCGACGCTTATGGGATACCATGAAAGGCGTTGGTTGCTTAAGACAGCAGGACGGTGGCCATGGAAGTCGGAATCCGCTAAGGAGTGTGTAACAACTCACCTGCCGAAGCAACTAGCCCTGAAAATGGATGGCGCTGAAGCGTCGCGCCTATACTCGGCCGTCAGCGGCAAGTGGGGCGTTGTAAAAGCAGTTTTTTAACATGATGAAGCTCTTAAGAGTAGAAAGATCGCAGTGGTGAGCGTAGAAGGGTCTGTGCGTGATGAGGCCTGGATCAGTCGTCATTGCAGATCTTAGTGGGAGTAGCAAATACTCCAGCAAGGCCCTAGAGGACTAACCTGGAGAAGCGTTTCGTGTGAAGAGCCGTTGCACATGAGTCAGTTAATCCTAAAACCTAGAAGAAATTCTATATTGATCACGTTGTTTCAAATAATTTTTTTGATTTCTGAAAGCATACATTTGCAGGGTGAAAGAAATTCTGATTCTTATCCTGGAATTCTGCAGCGAAACTTCTTAAAATTTGGGATTACCCATCGGAGTCTTCCGCGGACCCTGATAATTAAAGAAAGGGCCACATGGAGCTGTCGCGCTGGTTTGTACCTATGTCTACAGAATGTCTTTATGCTTAAGAGCATCTAACCGATGAAATATTGTAGGTAAGGGAAGTCAATGAATGAGATCCATATTTTTGGAATACGGTTTGGCTCTGGGGAGTGGCTGAAGTGCCAGACCTGGGTGGGGTCCAACTTTGTGGTGGTTTGCGCATGTACATCGTGTTTACGATGTGTGCATCGTAGATTCGTCGTGGAGGGCGAGTGATTTTTTTACTGTGTCCAGGTCTCCCGTGGATCTCTCTTGCTGCGAGGCTCACGCGACGGTTTCGCAGTTGCGTTTGTTTTCTTCGGCCGCCATCTAACACTTAGCTCAGAGCGGTTGCTGATCGGAGGAATCCATTTGTCTAATGAAAACAAAGCATTGCGATGGCCTTTTTGAGTGATGTCGAATGTGATTGCTGCCCAGTGTTCTGAATTTTTAGCTGTAGAAATTACAGCAACTACGGGTTAACGCCGAGAATAACTATGATTTTTTTAAGGGGTGCTGTAGTCAAAAGGTAAGGTGTTTGTCTCCGGACCGTAAGGATAAGGGTTTAAATCTTCAACTATTCACGGCTCCATCTGTCTTTTTTTTGACAGAGAGGGTTGATGAAAATTCAAACATGAATTTATTCGGGGGTGAATTCGAGTTCTTTTGCACCTCCAAAAGATGGGGGTTGAAAAGACAAAGGCAGGTGTGCTTTGGGTGGCCTCTTCTCAAGGCAAGCCGTAGTTTCCCTTTTCTGGAGGTGCCTGCTAGGTGTGTATTCACTATAAGGTGTCTTGGCACTATGGGCCTAGGGTTACCACCTTTTTTGGTCGTTTAAGTTGACCTTATTACCAGAAATTAAGCCATGAATAAGCGTGGTTTCTCTGCAGACAATTTGCACAATGACGTCAGTGACTAACAGCTGCTGAAGAAGGCCTATACCAGTGTGAATATTCGGGATACGAGAAAATCTTTTTAATGACCAACAGCAGAGGGCAACACCATCGAACAGCCCTCAAAGCCTGGTACGACGAACAGGTGGCTCCCAACAGACAAACTGGGTGGATAGCAGAAGAAAAGCTTCTCCTGACCCGCTGAGAATCTGAACTGACGATTAAAAGTGTGCACTTGAAAAACGAGGCTTTGCAACAGGCATTTTCTCACTGGTCTAATAAGTCTATCAAGGAACATCGTTCTTTTGAAGACAACAAAGTATTGGTGCAGCAGTACATTGCTAAACAGCAAGAGATCTCCGGTGCAGAGGGGAAGGAGCCTCAGAAGGGACCTCCAGCCACTCCTTTCACTCCTACCCCTTACCCTCTAATTGTGCATCTAGGTTCTATACCAGAGATGCCACCGGAAACCGGCTATTAATAGGAGAGGCTTCAAGAGATTATTTGCTCCGCCTGCTCTGATACCTTTTGTCAACAAATTGTGAGAAGGCTGTCTCTGTACCTCAAAGTTATTCTATTGCAACCTACTACCAACAAGGCACACCGCATTACATAACGTACTCCACGTTCACTTACCAACAGGGATAAATAGACGAGACTACGCGAAAACACAGGGACACTGGAAGGATTATCGAAGCAGGGGCATCAATGCCATTCAAAGAAACATCAGGGACAATCAGCAGCTAGAGCAGGCCAGGATGGAGCCATATTGGACAAAAGTCTTTACACAGTCAGCAACGAACACTAAGCTAAGCCGTGTTAATACAACGGTGCAACTTGACATCATGGCTTCAATTTACCTTGACTGACATCAAGAGAGGAAGAACACACCTTACTGTCACCTTAGTCGTAGATGGGCTAACTTAAGTCAACTTCAGGCCATTCCGGTGGCAGTATTTACTTGGATTTATAACCAAATACTGTGGTCCACAATTATGCCATCACATTTGGCCTGCTGAAGGACCATCTTCATTCCTAAAAAGGATAGAGCCTCAGAACCAGGGGACCTCCGTCTAGTCTCCATCACATTAATCTTCTGCAGAGTGCAACATAAAATCATAGCATAAAGAATCGACAATCCCATTAGCTTAGATAATTAGCAGAGGGCCTTCTGTATGGGAATTGATGGCTGCCTGGACAACACCGTTTTATTGAACGCTTTTCTGTGATAAAGATTAACTGAGCAAAAGTCCACACTCCTGACCACACTTGATCTTGCAAAGGCCTTTGACAGCATCAAACTCACCGGTCTGATGTCTGCAGTGGAGGCAGCGAACGTTTTATCATCGCTTATTGAGTACCTCCACTGCTTCTACAACAACTCTATCAGTACTTCCTCAGGCAAAGGATGGTCATTAGAGCTACTAAGAATAATGAAGAGCGTCAAACAGGGATACACTCTTTCACTCATCCTCTTTAAAACCGTGGTGGACCACCTACTAGAGTCTCTCCCACAGGAATGCGGCTCCACCTTCGCCAGAAAAACCGTCAGAGCTATGGCTTTCGCAGACGATATGGTCCTACTTGCCAACTTCGTTGTCAAACTACAATACCTGCTCGCCAAAACTAACACCTACCTAGAGTCCAGTGGCTTACGCCTGAGCACCAGCAAATGCCACACAGTGGTGATTGTGGCTGAGAGCCACTTTAAAAAAACGTCTTTGATGCAAGGATGACCTTCAAGATCAGTGGCCAGCCACTACCAATACGAACAAGAGAGAATTTGTGGAAATATCTTGGCCTAAGATTCTCGCACAAAGGTCATAAGAAGACAAGACTTATCACCACACTCAGTCTACTCTTCGAGCGCCTCTATAAGGTCCAACAGCAACTAACAGTGGCTCTTCAGGCTCAAAGTGTTTGTCCTTCCAGAGACTTATTATCGTATGTCCCGGGTTGGGTGAATATCAGTGAGTAGAGTGCCGTTGACAAGGCAACACGTGCATTCATGTGACATTGGCTAGCGTTGCTAAAAGACACCAGCATGGGTTACTTCCACGCACCAGCGTTTGAAGGAAGACTCGGAGTTCCGTCAGTTTGTTGAATGGCCCCTCTACATTGGCAACAGCGTCTACTTGCTCTTGTGCCAGGAAGACTAGCAGATAATTCTACAACCTCCTTCATTACTAAGGAGCTCGACCAATGTAGAAGGAGACTTACCAAAGGAAACTCCACCTACCTCACATTTAACGACATCAAAAATCAGGCGGCCAATATCCTTCACACTTTGATGGATGGGACGGCGCTTAAGGAGTTCTCTCAAGTACCCCAGCAGTGGGTATTAGATGGAAGACTCCTCCTCACAAGTAAGGACTACGTGAATTGCTACAAAGTCCAAATCAGAGCGCTGCCAACAAGACCCAGAGCTACGAGGGTCCAGAAAGGCGAGAGATTGTGTCGATCGGGGTGCCTATAGTAGGGAGTCAACAACCATGTCCAGCAGAGCCACCCAGCAATCCTCAAACCAAGGATAGACCGACATTATGCAGTGCTCGCATACATTGGGAGGAATCTTTGCCGGCAATGGTTCGAAGTCATCCAAGAACTGCACATCAAGATGCAGGAGGGACTAAGAAAACTGGACATCATAGCAACAATTGGTTCACTTGGACTGGTAATTGATGCACAGGTTGTCGGTGAACACACATGCTTGGAAAGTTCTCATGCAACCAAATTTTGAAAGTACGCTAACAATCCTGACACTGATAGTACTATCAGAAGGAAAACTGGCGTCACTAACATCAGACATATGCCAGTAGTTTCTTCATCCAGGAGAATCTGGTGTAGAAAACTGGCATCAGATCTCATGGAAATAAAAATCATAAAGAAGAGAGAACTCGCCATCTTGGCCACAAGAGTTTTGTTGAGAGGAATGATCGCACACCGGCTGTTCTAAATAACACGGTTATCTGTCCAGTATAATTGAGGGATCAGTTGAAGGAAGCTAACGTCACCCCTCAGGGTGCTATCTATCGCATAAAGTATAAACTTTCTTTGTTTCGGAACCAGTCGGGAGTATCGCAGGTGACTCTCGAAAAATGCGAAAAGCGAAGCCCAACGGATATTTCATACATAATAATTAGCTTATATTTTAATTTTAAAGAAATATATGTAGCAATATTAGTGGAACCAGCTCAAAAGGGAATCGTTAAAAATTATATCAATTATAATTGGATGTTTAAGACAAAATAATGAGTCACTGTTGTATTGCACTGTATTTGTTATTGCCACTGTAACTGTTATTTTACTTGGTGAATTATCACCATTGTCATCCATCCTTAACACAATTTTAGTTATGAAGCAAATTTAACTAGCACGTGCCCAAATTATAAGGTTGTACCCATATGAAGCACTATTTACAGTTATACTCGAACTTATACCTCAAGTGTTGACACTGTCGACTGCCGACTGCTGCAGTGCACTACACGCTCGCACGTATACACGCACATATACACACTATTGCTCTCTCTCGATCATCCTGCAGTCAGCTCCTCCTGCTTTGCACTGATATACATATACACCGTGCCCTTAACTTTACAGCCTTGAAGCACTCCTCAGTTAAAAGAGAAAACAGAGATAGAGTGTAGGGAAGTCTTTATTCTGACAGCAATGGCCTCTTGGCCAGCAGCCTTGCACACCATGTGTGTCTACGTGCGTGTTCGTGCACATGGATACTTATCTGCTTGTAGACAAATATGACATAGTATATCTATATACTTTGGCTGGCAGCAGTGGAAACTCAGCACTCTCTAGTAGGGAGAGAGAGAGAGAGAGAGAGAGAGAGAGAGAGAGCAGTATGAGCATGTCTATATGGGAGTGACGAAATAAGCGTTACACTTTAAAAATTTTTACTGCCTAAGTCCAAACCTCATATAAAATGTTTTCACATAAAGAACCAATCATCCGGTGTCGTCGCATATATGTGTGTAGTTGTGTCTTGTATGTAATGTAAAAGTGTTTTATGTAATAAAAGTGACTAATGTATGTACATATGTGTAGATTGTAAGAGATAATTGTAAAATAATAAATGAAGAGATGCAAATTTTCACCTTTATGCTGCTGACTTACTGACTTGTAGTTCTGTCATGCTGTCTTTCAGGGCGTTATTTCTGTAATAATATGGGTCATAGTACCGTCTAATAAATCCTTGTACCCTTAAGGTAATCACAATATTAGGGGCTCGTAATCTTCGTGTGTGTATCCTTGTAATGCCGAAATGTGCGGTGTGACTACTTAACGGGTGGGTAACATGGATACAACGGGCGCGCGAAGCCATCGTGAAATCAACATGGCACTTGTAACTATAACTCTCAAGATAGAATACCCTGTACAAGCAAGTAGATGGCAAGGCCCTTGAGAAGTCCAGGCGAGTTGGTGGTCAGCATGCATGGGTTATAGAACCTACAAGACTTCTGTCAGGAAAAGATTTTATGTGTTGACAGTCAAGGCAACAATTAACGCTCTGCCCACCCGCTCAAGGACACTCCAAGTGAAGACAAATGGCCACTACTACCGTGCAGGGTGCCAGAATATCGAGACGCTAAATCACATCTCGCAACAGTGCTTCTGAAGTCATGATGTGAGGATACGGCGTTATAATGCAGTGTCTTAGTAGATTAAGAAAAGACTGTGCGTGATGGTGTTTGGAGTTAAAAACGAGCCAAGATATCAGACCAAGGAGGGGTTAAGAAAGCTGGACTTGGTGACAACGCTGAGAAAAACAACGTTTAGCGTTGATGCCCCGGTGGTGTTGGAGCTCATTGATCTTGATGAGGCTGACTCAAGAAAGGTTCGCTACAACAAGGAAAACCGTAGCTTTAACGATAAGATCAAGGAAGAAGAAAAATCGGAAGACCTACATTTCTGGGGAGTCACAGTTAACTGGCGTGAAGTGTTGAGTCCATCCTTGGTAAAGAAACTTTAGTCACTCAGGATCATTAGACAGGAAGACCTAACAGTCATTTCATCGAGAGTCCTGATTGGAAGTGCGACAGCACGAGCAGATTTAACTAGACGGCCTTAATCTAGGCTAAGGATGGAAAACCAAGAAGAAGAGCTAGAATTGTTTAGAAATGGCTAACAGGGATTATATATCTATATCACTCTTCTGTAAAGAAAATAATGTTTATTAACAAACGTAATTAAAAAAAATAAAATAAAAATAGCCCAATTCCTCGTCATCTAATTAGTTACTCGCATAAATGGATTAACGAGATTTTCTTTGTCCCTATCTCCGAAGAGCAAGAATACAAGAGTATCAAGAGAAAAGAAAAGCACTTATAAAAACACTTCAGTGCAAGACTCTGACAGCTGGACCTCTACGCTGGTTCTCTGCAAGCAACGGTATCTGATCTAAGAGGCTAGTTGCTGGCCGAAAGATCAGATAACGGACAACGCAGCTGACTTCTGTTATGTTTGGCACTTCCGCTCGAACATCTATAGGGTTATCAATTAGTTGGGAAATAGGTTCGGTTGGAGGAAACTGCTAGGTTTGAATAATAGACGCCCTTGATATTAATACTTAGTATATTATATATAAGGCTTAGTAGAAAGTAGAAGTATACAGAGAGCGAGGCTCGTGACTCCGATGCCTCTATCCAAGTTCGTCGGGTCGATCTTCAACACTCTGGCGTTTCGTTGTCTATCGCGGAGACTATATACACACACACACTCGCAATAAAAATAGGAACGCACATGCGTAACTTTACATAGGGAAACTCGATACATCACAATTCCCTCCACCTTTCAATTGTGCAGCTATCCTCGAGGAGCGTCTGAGCTTTTGCTGATCAGCGGATTTTTATGACGCTTCCATGTTTTTCCAGGTGCGACATTTACACGGTATAATGCTGGCGAGATTTGTTTCTCGATTACACCTGGCACTCGCTTTTTTTTATCACTGCTGTAATTCGCTACGCTGACATTTTGCCCTAATTCAAATTCTACATTACGTGATCCGTGATAGGACTTAGTTTGCTCGCGTTGATATTTTTCTACAACGATTGGCGTATGTGCTGGATGCAATAAATCAAATCTCGTACGCAATTCACAATTGTACATCAGTGCTGCCAGACTTTTTCCACTCGTACAATGTTTGCAGCTTCTGTAGTCGAATAAGTAAATATTTATTGCATCGCTCAAGCTCTCTCCCCCTTTCCAGATTTTTTCTACCTTATCTTTGAATGTCTGAACGAAATTTTTGGCTGCGCCGTTAGTAGCCGGATGATACGGTGGTGAAAATGTATGTGTTATTTTATTTTTTTTTGTAAAATTTTGAAATTTGACACTAGTGAATTGTGCGCTGTTATCCGAAACAATATGATTTGGATATCCAAATCTTGCGAATAGATTTTTGCATTCTTTAATTACGCGATAAGCTTTTGTATTATTTTTGAAACCGATCACTTCAGGCCATTTTAAATGAGCGTTAATGACGACAAGGAACATATGTCCCATAACGGGGCCTAAAAAATCCAGGTGTATTCTTGACCATGCTCTTTCTGGCCATGGCCATGGAGTTAATATCGCTTTCCTTGGATTTTTCTGCGATTCAGCACAAATTTCGCATGATTTTACAAGTTATACAATGTCCTCATCGATGCCTGACCACCAAACATAAGCCCTAGCTAACATTTTTATTTTTACCATGCCCATGTGTGACATGTGTAGTTCGCGTAAGATGGTTGGTCTAATCGATTCTGGACTGATAATTCGAATTCCCCAAAATAAACAATTACTTTCAATTGACAGTTCATTTCTTTTATTTTTAAAATTTTTTACATTTTCTAAAATTTCATTAGGCCATCAATCTTTTACATACAGTAAAACTTGTTTAAAAACAGAGTCGCGCATCGTTTCTGTCCTTTTGTTTTCCAATCGATCGAGTCAATTCCTTGCTTTACATAATACATAGGCGTGAAATCTGTGTTGAAGATTTGAGTATCATCTTCAATTGGTAAGTGCGATAGCGCATCGCAATTTCCATTATCTTTAGATTTAATATATTCGATCGTATATTTGTAGCCCGATAAGAAGTACGCCCATCTTTGCAGTCTGCTTGCTGCCGTAATTAGTTTCTCTTTTTTCGGTCCGAAGATATGTTGCAGCCGTTTGTCATCATTTTGCAGTATAATTTTTTTGCCGTAAACAAAATCGTAGAACCACTTGAATCCGAATACTATAGCGCTCGCTTCTTTATTGATTATCGCGCGATTCAATTCTTTTGTCGGAATTTTCTTTGAAGCGTATGCTATAGGTTTTTAGGTTCCATCGTCGTTTTCATGCGACAGTACAGCTGATAGCCCATACGCTGACGCATCACAAGCGAGTATAATTTTTAGATTTGGATCAAAATGTGCTAATACGCGAGGCGATATTAATTCTGTTTTAACCCATTTGAATGCTTTCTCGCAATTTTCATTCCATTCGAATGATTTCCTATTCGCGTATTCGTATAATGCTTGTAAATTCACCAATCTATTTTTCAAAAACTTAGCATAAAAATTAATTAATCCTAGAAATGACATAACTTCTTTCGTGGGAGTAGGCCTCGGAGCTTCTACCATCGCTTTTACTTTCGATTTCGATCTATGCAAACCGTCGTGGTCGATAACAAATCCCAAAATTTCGATTCTTTCTTTCAAAAATTCGCTTTTATCTTTATTTAATCGTAAATTACAATCCAAGAGACGTTTACACACTTGTTCTAATCTTTTCACATGTTCTTTGTCATTTCGACAGGTAACATAAATATTATCGAGGTACGCTGTAACTCTAGGTATGCCTCGTAAGCATTTGTCAATTTTTTTGCTGAAAAATTCCAGGCGCTGACGCTAGGGGCCGTTCATATACTATATCATGCAGCTAGGGGGGAGCAGGGTATCGGTTTGGCGTGAT